ACACACACACACACACACACACATGCACGCACCCAGGCACGCATGCACGTACGCACACACACACACGCGCGCGCACGCAGGCACGCATGCACGTACACACACACGCACGCACGCGCGCGCACGCAGGCACGCATGCACGCACACACACACACACGCACGCACGCGTACACACCTCTAGCGGAACTCCAATCCTCTGATTTTCGTCGGCGAGCCATTCTCTTATAATCGACGAAATTCGACGAATCCTCATCCTCCTCCTCCTCATCATCATCCTCATCCCTTCCCTCCTCCACCGCTTCCTCCTCCTCCTCCTCCTCCTTCTCGTTGTCGTATTCCTCTATCGCGTTGTGCAGCTTCTCGGCATTGTAAGCAAGCTGCAGCATCCTGATCTCATCCGGTAGATTCTCCTCTTTCTCCTCCTCCCCCGGCAGACGCCCTCCTCTCGCCTCCTGCAGCAGAGAGAGGGCGCGAGAGAGCGCCTTGTCCGATATCTGATCCAGAGTGTCGAGAATGTTGTTCGTGTATGCCGACGAAGTATCGTAATCATCATCGGCGTCATCGTCATCGTCGTCGTCGATGACATCATCCTCGGTGCGTGGTTCGTCGTTGAGCGCTCCAGCCATGCGACCTTCATATCTGTCCAGCATCCACTGCGTTAGTTCGTCGGCAGATGGCGCCTCTGCTTCCTCTTCCTCTTCCTCCTCCTCCTCCGCTTCCCCGCGCTCATCCTCCGCGTCATTCCCGTACATCCGGGCGCTCTGCAGCAGCGTCATCATGCTGTCGTCAACGTCATCGTCGTCGTCTGCCTCGTCGCGTTTCCTCGCAATGAACCGCTTCCTCTTACGTTCAACATCGTCATCATCATCGTCATCGTCGTCGTCGTCCTCGAATATTCTGCGCAGTTGTTCGGCGCCGATTTCGTTCGCTTCCGTCTCCCGCTCGGTGGCGCTGTTCCTCAGTAACTCGCGCAGCAGCGACGTCTTGACTGCGTCACGCATGACGTCATCGTCGTCACGATTCTCCGCGTACCTCTTCTTCGCGATCCATTTCTTCCTCAGCGCCCTCTTGCGAACTGCTCTCTCGTAGAGGTCGCTGCCGTCGTCCTCGGCGTCGGCTGCGGCGGCGGCAGCGACGTACTCGCGAAAGCTGTCACCGATGCTCTTTCGTTTCACGTCGATGACGTCGAGGGCGCGTCGCAAGCCGTTGTCTTCTATCTCGGAATCCGGATCGAACCGGTCCGGGAACGCGGACAGTAATCCGACGCCTGCGTCGTCGCGTCGCTTCCTGAACGTGTAAGCGTACGAGCTGACGTGTGAGACGACGACAGCGGCACAGATGAGCAGACGTAGAGAGCACGACGCACGCCCCATGATCATAGGCTGAACTCCGTCACAGAGCCAACTATAGCACCATATACTGCAACACACACACACAGAGAGAGAGATATATAATAGATGTGCGCTGTTGTGGTTTTACACAGGGCCAACTAGCACTATATACTGTAACGAGAGAGAGAGAGAGAGATGAGAGGAGAGAGAGAAGAGAGAGAGAGAGAGAGGAGAGAGAGAGATAGACGAGAGAATAGAGAAGAGGGAGAAAGACACAGGGAAGAGAGAGGGCCGAGAGCGGATGGAGGAGGAGGAGAGGAGGATGGAAGAAGAGAGAGAGAGAGAGAGAGACGAAAGGAGAGAGAGAGAGGTAGAGAGAGAAAGAAAGGACGATGGAAGAGAATAGATATAGAGAGAGGGTACTCTCCGGCCCCAGTGAGCAAGATGATAAAACGATCATGGTTATAGAAGAGTAGGAACTTGAAATATGTGGTCGTATATGAGAGATTTGTGAGACTCAACGGCGGGAGCGAAAAAAGATTTGTGGCGGTGCATAGTTGGTGATAGGGGCGTGCGGGGGGGGAGAAAGATAGCGATGCTGCGGTATGGCATAGGGGTAAGGGACCGTGAAAATGACATACGATATACGGGGGCATGGCTGGTGACAGGGCACGCGCATAGCGAGCTAAAGACGTACTAGTGCTCGCCGGTGACAGAGGCACGAGGAGATAAAGATTGTCGCATAGTTGGTGAACAGGGCGTGATTAGCGGAGTAAATTATCAGTTTTGACCCCATTTGCAAAACACGTGCACCAATCGAGTGAAGCTGCATGCGGATTCACGCATGCATGGCACGTATCTGGCGTCATCCTTAGCAAGGGCGGGGGGGGGGGGGGGCGGGGGGGGCGGGGGGTGGAGGCGGGGGGGGGGGGGGGGGGGCGTCTCACCACGCCAATATACAACGCTTACGTTTTACACTGAAAGCGGCACTGCTAATATATAGTTATGTAGGTAGTGTATGTAATATATAATATATATATTATATCGAAGCGTCGCATACATAGAGATCTAATGGACTCTATTATGGGCACTCTTGATATATATATAAGTATATAGTAATATCAGAAGTAATAAATAGGAGGAACTACTCCCTAATATTCCCTATTATCTACTTACTGATATATTATATAATATAGGGGTGGAGGAGGCAGAGAAAGCTGAGAGAGAGAGAGAGGAGAGAGAGAAGAGAAGAAGAGAGAGAGAAGAGAGAGATGAAAACGACAGAGAACGAGAGAGCAGAGACTCAGAGAGAGAGGGAGAACGCATGGAGAGAGAGAGGCGAAAGAGAGAGAGAGAGGAGAGAGAAAGAGAGAGCGAGAGACAAAGTGAGAGAGAGCGGAGAGCGGAAAACCCTGTGGGAGCAGAGAGAGAGAGAATATTAAACGCGAGAGTGAGAGAGAGATGAATGCGCGGAGCAGAGAGAGGGACTGGAAAAGATAGATATACGGAGATAGTACTCCGGCCCAGGTGTTCGCACACCGGGTCTTGTCGCGCGGCATGCGCTGGCCACCTCGCGCTCCCCTACAGCAACATCCCCGCATTTGACGACAGTCAATGTTGCCATCGCCGCTGTACTGTCGCAGTCATCATGCGATCCACAGACCAGCCTGCCGATACTAGCGTAGCCGGACAAGCGTCAGCAGGAAGCCGGCAGACTGACAGACAGACAGACAGGAACAGAACAGACAGCACTAGACTGACAGACAGAACGTAGCGACAGTATCGACAGAGGACCAGACGGACGTGACAGCACATACAGACTGACGGACAGTACAGACAGACAGTCAGATAGACAGACAGACAGACAGACAAGGCTGCGGGTAGTAAGCGGGGATTGCCGCTTAAATGACGGCTCATTACGGCACGCACCTGTGCCCGTGTGTTTACGTCACGGTCTTCCACCCCCTCCCCCGGTACGCGTGGGGCGCGACGGGCGCGGCGGGACGGGGGGGCGAGCGACAGGAAGACGAAATCCGATGCGAGTAGTGCGGGTTGTGCTACTCAAGTTTACTGTAAGAGGTGACGTCATGTCACACACCAGATGTGCTGCCATTTTTTAATTGAGTTGTTTCGGGGAGGGAGTTTATAGACCGGAAGAGCCGCCATATTTGATTGGAATATTACGGTGAGGGAGTTTATTGACCGGAAGAGCTGCATATTTGATTGGAAATTGTTTCGGGGAGTGTTTATAGACCGGATTTGCGTATATATTGGATTTACGTCATCGTGAGAGAATTATTGCAAAAGACGTATTTGTGGTTCAGGTAGAGAGAGAGAGAGAGAGTAAATGCTTGTTAAAGTACCGATATCCGGTGCGTGCGATACGTAATTTAGCGCAAACCACCTGGCTAGCATGGAAGTAGAGAGGGGAGACGGAGAGACGAGAAGGCTGGGGAGCAGTGTGCAGAGAGGAAAGAAAACAACCAGGGAGGGCGAGAGGAGGTGGAGGGGAAGTAGGAAGTCAGAAGGATGCGGAGGCGGGGAGGGGGGAGGGGAGAGGAAAGAAGCAGCGAGAAGGGAAAGGGAGAGTCGGAGAAGGTAGGGAGGGGAGCGTAGCGAGGGTAAAGAGGGAAGTAGTACGAGAGGAGCGGGGGACCGCTCGGCAGGCGAACGGGGAAGGGAGATGAGAGAAGCGGGAGAAGGAGCAGCATAGAAGGAAACGACGAGGAGAGAGAGAGGAGGAGGAGGAGAAGAGGGCGGAGAGGGAGGGCAGTTGAGGGGGCGGAGAGAGGGAAGGGGAGAGAAGAGGACGGAAGGGAGACGTAGAGGAGGGGCGAGAGCGCCACAGCGGGAGGAGGGGCGAGCAGGGGAAGAAAGCGGGAAGCGAGAGGGGAGAGAGGAACGAAGAACGAGACGAGGGCGAGGGCGAGGAGCAACGACGGCAGAGAGCAGAAGAGAGAGGGAAGGAACGGTATGAAGAAGGAAGAGGGGGTAGACAAGAGAAGAACGTAGGGAGAGGAAAGGGAGGAGAAGGAGGACGAGATAGGGAGACAGACGAGCAGGCGAGAGGGGAGGAGGAGGAGGAAGGGGAGAGAAAGCGAAGAGCGGAGGGAAGGGACAGACTAAGGGGGAGTACGAGGGAGAGAGGGAAAGAGCAGAGAAGAGAAGGGAGGAAGGAGAGAGGGGAAGGGGGGACGGGGAGACGATGATAGTAAGAGGACGAGAGAGGTAGCGGCGAAAGGAGGAGGGGACGGAGAGACTACGCGGATAGGGAAGGGGGAGGGAGGGAAGGGAGGAGCAGGAGAGGAAGGGAGGTAGGGAGCGGAAGAAAGAAAGGGAGGAGGGAGAGTACGAAGGGGGGGGGAAGGGAAGAAGGAATGAAGGAGAGGAGAGCACAGGGGAGGACGGGGAGGGAAGAGAGAGGGCGAGAGGTAGAGAGAGTGGAACAGCCGCGGCGGAGGGACGGCGAGGGAGGAGAGGGAGAGAGGGGCAGCCGTGGTGAAGGAGAAAGACGAGAGAGGGGGGAGGAGGGAGAGAGGAGAGGACAATGAGGGAGAAAGAAGAGGCGTGGCGGTTGGAGAGGAGTGAGCGCAGAGGGAGGAAGCTAGAGAGGTGAGGTAGGCCGAAGCGGGGGACCGAGCAGAGACGGGGAGGAAGGCTAGAGAGGAGGCGCACGGCGGGGGTAGGAAGCGGGGAGGAAGGGAGGAGGACGAGGAGAGGACCAGAAGGCGGAGGAGAGGATGTATAAGAGCGGGAAGGATGGGACGCGGATAGAGAGGTGGAGGGAGAAGAGGAAAGTGGCGAGAGGAGTACGAGAGATAGAGGGGAGGACAGCGAGCCGAGGCCTGAAAGCGAGAGAGTGGGAGGGAGTAGGGTAGAGAAGACGGGGATACAGGGGGCGGGGAGAGAGAGGTTGAGTGCGCGCCCGCAGCAGGACGGGGGGAAAAGGGAGAGAAGGGGGAACGCGGGCACACAAGGGAAAGAACTACAGGCGCAGAGGGCAGGGGGCGGGCGCAGGGAGGAGGCGGGACGGGAGATGGGGCAAAGGAAGAAGAGAGGCGAAGAAGGGCTACGAGAGAACAGGGAGGAGGAGGAGAGAGGTTGGGAGCGGACTAGAGCCGACCGGCGCCCCGAGCAAGGGAGAGAGCCACGCCGTGGCCCCGGAGTGGAGGAGGGGCGACAAGGAGCGCCGCCAGGAGGAGGAGGGGAGGACCAGCAACAGAGGGAAGAGGAGGGAAGAGGCAGATGGTGCGGGGCTATGAAAACGCGCCCCGCGGTTAGAAGGACGAGCGACAGGGGAAAAAAACGGGCCTACGGCTGCAAGGGGGGGCGGGAGCGGGCGACAGCGGAAGGGGGGGGAGGGAGGGAGGGAGCTGGAGGGGAGAGAGGCGAGTGACAGAGGATAGGAAGAAGGAGAAGCTCAGGAGGAAGAGAGGAGGAAGGCAGAGGGGAAGCGAGCAGCGGGGAGAGGAGCCGGAGAGAGGCGGAGAAAGGGGACATTCACCGTGCCCGTAGGAATATGTGAGAACGAGGGTAAAAAAAGAGAAGGCGCATGAATTTGAAGCCTCTAGCGCCACCAAAAGCGAATGGGCTTCAGCATGTTATGTAAGACAAGCATGCCTGAGAGCAAGGCGAAAGGGTCTCTATATGTATAGCTGTACTACTACTCGACTCCTCCGTCAGCATACCGGAATAGAACCACGGTGATGGGAGGATCTCCTACCCAGAAAGCGCACTGGACACGAAGAAAGAGTCTAAAAGTAGGGAGTGGATACGATTGAGACTGCTAGGTAGTGCGAATAGTATAAGGAACTAGAGTTGTAATATCACAGACTCAAGTGTAAGATGAGTAGTTGTCATGCGACATGATCACATATTACGTTTGTCTCTCTGCGATGCGCTAGGAGATACAATGGACGTGGTATTCAGCTACAGGTACTGATGACAATAAATGTATCGACATACTGATAGCGAGTGATAGCTAGTCCCGCACCCACATCTCCCGCTTGAGGTCAGCGGCTACGCAACGAACGAGTGATGCAAGATTTATTTACGCCAAAACGTACGGTACGCCCTTACCACCTAATA